AGTAGTTTATTAATGACTATTTTTCATGCATTGAAAATTTTTTTAAAAAAAAAAGGTGGCATTTGCATTCAAACCACCCAATTCCCATGTTTTTACATATCTCATACCTAAACTTTCCTTTTTTACATTTATACTACATTATCATTCAAATCTTTCACATCACATAAAAAAAATTACTATTTTAATTTTCAAAAAAAGAAATAGACCTTCTCATGCATAGTTAAAGTGTATATTTATGTATGTATGTATGTCAAAATTAAAGTTAAATACATAAAAATTGAGTGGTTTGTATGCAAATACTCCATAAGAAAAATGACGTACAGAGATTTCTGCAATATTTAGTACAGAAGTGGGTGCATATTGAAAGCAGCAGAATAATGCATGATTTTATTTATTACAATATTACAAAGGTTAGTTCCATAATATTGATATATATATATATATATATATATATCAAAAGCCCAATGACTAATATATTAAAAAAAAAATACAAATAGATTGTATGAGAGGGACTAAAAAAAGGTATATATAATTTAATGCCTTTGGTGGGCTGAATTGTCACTAATTTAAGCCATCCTTTTTTCTAAACTTACAGCAAAGCATTTCTGCTTCTTGTGAAGAAGGATGAAAAACATGAATTGAATATAATCTCATTATAAAAAGAAAATGGCAGGGACTACAAGCCTAACTCTAATATATAATTTTTATAATTACCGAAAGTAACATTTCTTAAGCGGAATTTAAATCACATTAAAATCGATATAAATCAAGCAAATACTTTCATTTCATACTTCTGTAATTTATTGCTTGTTAAAAGCATTTCTCTAATAATGACAATTCTTGGGGTTTCGTAGGTCATTTTAATTGTTCTATAAATCAAATTAAAAATGATTTAATCCAAGTTTATATGAACTCAGACTAAGCTCTTGAAGTAAGAAAGTTTTGAAGCTTTAATTAAGAGATTAATTAATTTTCAAATATTGCATGTTTACAGTCATATCGAGTGTCCCAACTAGAGGAACCAACTAGCTCAAGATCATTCATCACGAACCATTTGATGGAGCGTTTTGAGATTTTGAGTAGATTTTCCAAAATACCTCTCCCAACGCTCTATAATTTTTTTGGGATAGGTGGGCCCAAATGACAATATGCTCGATTTGAACTGTTACTCCCTCAACTACAATGTCATGGGCAAGGGCACCCCAAAGCTCTATAATTAAGTTCTCATTTTTAACATGAAGGGAGGAAATCGATTTGAACTGTTATTCCCTCAACTACAATGTCATGGGCAAGGGCACCCCAAAGCTCTATAATTAAGATCTCATTTTTAACATGAAGGGAGGAAAAGAGACTAAGAGCTAAGTTTACATTCTTGAAGAAATTTCGATGCTGAAGACCACCGACGACAATCAATGTCAAAGTATTAGTAATCATTGTAGAACCGTCGGTGTCTGACCATCACTATTGTTGCCAAACCACTGTCATTTGCACCACAACCGCAGACCACCATGCATCACCTATTGTCAACCCTATTGGTACCCGGTAATTAATGTCGTTATAGTGTTACTTCTATGTATGAAGCATAAACCTTATTTTACATCCCAATAGCTTTTCTACCATTTAAATTTTCAAGCATTAAGGATAATATATAATGCTTATTTTCCTTTCATACAACAGCCCATATGAATCAACTCCACATTTAGACCATTTCTGTGCTGAAATCTATGGTTATGGAAAGATTACATACATCACATTAAGCTTAATTATCATTATGACTTCTTTAATTAATCACCCAACCTTATAAAAACATTCACTTTCACATATGGATTCCTTTTCTCATCATTGCAACAAACTCATCATAGTTGATCCTGCCATCCTGTCAAAAAAAATAAATAAATAAAATAAAATAAAATAAAAATTAATACTTTAGAATAAGAAATATTCTTAGTGTAGAAAAATGCATTAATTTAAGCAAAGAATAAGGGAAAAATTAACTTACTTTATCAGTATCAACATCATCTAATATTTCACTGATAGTTGCTTCATCACCCATGCCATATTGTGCCATTGCTAGTCTTAGTTCATCTCTTGTTATATATCTATGATGAACAAGGGAGAGTAAATGTAAATTTGAATTAGTACTGAATAAATGTTTTATATCTTACTGTTTTGAAATTAGTACTGAATAAATGTTTTATATCTCACTGTTTTGAATTTATATATATATATATGTGTGTGTGTGTTTGTATGTATTGGAAGATCTTATATGTATGTATGTATGTATGTATGTATGTATTGGAAGATCTGCATACATACCACTCAATACCCATGTATTTACATATTTTCACATAAACTTAAATTTCTATATACAGACCTTACTTATGCATGAAAAGGTCTATTTCACTTGGGTACAAATGTAAAAAAGTAGTAGAGTTTAGATGCTAGATATGTAAATACAAAGGAATTTGTTTTTTATGTTTGTAAATTTCCCCTTTTTCAGTAATTTAACCGTAATAAAAGAGATTTTTAGATCTAAATTATCTTACCCACTTCCATCTCTATCGAAGTACTGGAATGCTGTATACAAGTGCTCATCTCTGTCCAGTTTATGTCGATGCATGGTAGCAGTGATGAACTCAATATAATCAATGGTGCCACTTTTATCTACATCTGCCTGGAATAAAACAAACAATGAAGAGTAATAAATGCTTAATTAATAATTACTGAATCATAATTAATAACTTAACCGTTTACTTAACTCCATTATATATTTTCAAAATATGTATAAAATCCTTACAAAAACGTTACATTTTGTTATTAACAAACAGATGAAATTAATCATATTGCAAAAAAAAAAAAATAACAAATCATACTGCATCCATAAGCTGCTGCACTTCAGCTTCTGAGAGCTTTGATCCTAACTTTTTCAGCCCAAGCTTCAACTCATCATAGGTAATCGTGCCGCTCCTATCAGTGTCCATGTTCTTGAACATCTGCTTCAGTCCTTTGATCTCTTCTTCTGAAAGATTCTTCGCAATGACCTTAAACAATCAAATTTTGCTCACTAAATCAGATTAATTTTACAATTAAGAAAATAAATATCAATGTCAGCAGGATTAATAATGATGCTAATGACATTCAGGGCAAGTTTCTTCATCTTATTCATTGCTCTGAATTGCTTCATTCTATTCAGAACTGCACTGTCTATTGGCTTATCAGAAGCTTCTCCATCTTCTACTAGCCATGGATGCTCTGAGTTTAATTAAGAAGAAAGTTTAAGGAACTTGTGATACAAAACACAGGATAATAATATATTTGGAGAAAATTAGAGAGATCATACCAAGCACTTGTGCTGCTGTAATTCGCCTTTTTGGATCTTGTGTTAACATTCTTTTGATTAGATCTTTTGCCCCGCGAGAAATGGAAGGCCATGGTGGACTTGTGAAGTCCACATCCCCTTGTAATATAGCATCAAATATGCCTTTTTCTGTTTCTGTATTGATTTTTCAATATTTATTAGTCTATTTATAGTTTATGTAGCATGATTATAATGCTTATGACATATAAAAAGTGATAAAATTATAAAAGAGTGAATTGGTTTACCTGCCCAGAAAGGGGGTACACCAGAAAGAAGAATATATAAGATGACTCCTGCGCTCCAAACATCAATTTCCTTACCATAGCTTCTTCTCAATACTTCAGGAGCCACATAGTAAGCACTTCCTACAATTTCTTTGTAAATTTTGCCTGTTCATTGCATTAGTAACAACGCAATAACATCAGTTTCTGAAGGATAGGGCCTCAGTAAAAAGCCTCAGGCAATAACATCAATAAACAAATAATCTCTACCCTCTTGACCCAATAATATTTGCTGATATAAAAAAGAAAAAAATTTTACACTGAAAAACACTCCTCCTGCCTCAAATCAAAATCCTTCAACCAAACCAAGAACTAACCTTCCTCGATGAAAACAGAAAGCCCGAAATCAATAGCCTTGAGATCAGAATCCTCATCCCTGCTCACAAAGAGAAAATTCTCTGGTTTCAGATCTCTGTGCATCACTCCCATGAAATGACACACATGCACCACATTTACAATTCCTCTACAGATCTTGGCCGCCTTTCGCTCCGAATAGCTCCCCTTAGAGATGATTCGATCGAAGAGCTCCCCTCCAGAGCACAACTCCATCACCAAATGAATGTTCTGCGCATCCTCGTACGCGCCTCTGAACTCAACTATGTTAGGCTGTCCTGTCAGATGCTGAAGGATAAAAACTTCCCGCCGTACATCATCGACTTCGCTCTTGCTCACAAGTTTCTTCTTTGAGATTGATTTGCAGGCATACTTGATGCCGGTGGAGCGTTCGGTGCATAAGTAAGTGATGCCAAATTGGCCGCGACCGAGCTCTTTCTCGATGATGAAGAGAGAGTTGATGTCAAGCATCGGTTTCTGAAGGATAGGGCCGAAGCGGGTTGTTAGGGAGGAGGAGGAGGGGATAGGTTTTGGCTTTGGTAGTGAAGGTGGTGGCAATGGAGGAAGTGGGGGAAGCGGAGGCAGCGGTGGAGGCTGGGTTGGGTGCTTGACGGATGCGGCGGCGATCGGAATTTCATATGTTTTGGTGAAGCACGAACCCATTAGCAATTTGGGATCGCCGGCTTCTTGGCGGCGGTCCTCCTTGTTAATGGAGTTCGGTGGATTTTTTGCTTTATGCTTGAGTTTTGTTTGTGTGGCAAGGAAAGGAGAGGAGAAGAATAAAAGAGTTTTGGGACAAGGAAAGTGAGATTCTTCGAAGCTTTGGGGAAGAAGGGATTCGACTATGATGGAGGTGGGAGGACCGTTAGGAAGGAGATACAGTTCAAATTGCCGTTGAGTTAACGGTAAAGTGGAGTTCCCGCCACTGTCTGTGAGGGTAGGAAGGGATGATAGCCCCGATTTGACGAGTTTATTAGGTTTGTTGAAGGAAAATTTATTAGGTGTGGCGTCCCCACCGGGAGAAGGACAGAGAGGGTGCGGAACGCATCAGGAGTTCTCAAACAGCTTTGTATCAGGATTACAATCAGAGTCTATCACAAGTACAATCAGACCCATCTTAGCAAAAAAAAAAGCTTTGTATCAGGATTACAATCAGAGTCTATCACATGTACAAGCAGACTCATCTTAGCAAAAAAATAAATAAATAATAATAATAATAATATAATACATGAGTGAGTCTATATGTACACGTGACAGATCATGATTGAAATCCTGAAGCAAAACTGCATTAAGACTTTTGATGCAATATTTTTTTGAGATAGTGGGTTCTGCCCACTCTCTCCTCTTATTAGGCGTCCGTCCGCACCGACGCCACACGTATTCACCATGTAAAAATAAAACAACATGAAGTTTTTGTATTGAATGTATTATGTTAATAATGAAACAGCTAAAATTTTTGTAATTCTTAAGCATAGAATATTTTCTTTCTTTTCCAAGGCTTGGTAAGGTCAACATAAGTTTACTAAGTGACAAGTTGATTTGGTGAAAAAGTTACAGAAGTAGTAATGCATTGTATTTAAAATATTTTGAAACTATTTGATTCTATCTAAAATGAATATGCGAGTCCAATTTTATTTGTTTGATTTGAAATGAAATAAAAATACTATATTTAACTTAATGCCTATATTGGTGATGGCGGCCACTGTGATTGGTAGGACTAGGCAGTGGTGCTAGTGGCCAACAGTGGGTGGCTAGCGGGGCTAGTCGTAGGTGGCGGCCGTCGAAGGGTGGCGACCGTTGGGGTTAGTTGGAGGTGGTGATTGTCAGTGGACGGAGGCTGTAATGGCTTACAGATGGCTGCCGGCAATGGCCTTTGGGGGATTAGCAGAAGCGGTGGCAGTGTGTGTGTAATTTACAAAACGTCGGTGTCACATTGATATTACAAATACCATACTTAAATTAGTGTGATCAAGAACTCCTTTGATTTTAATAGTTGATGATGGGACTTTAATTCCATCATAAGATTCCTTTCGAACAACGAGCTATTTTGACAGCCCTATTTTGGAAGAATAAAGAAATGTCTCAATCCCTGTATCCTACTAAATGGATGGCCCTGATTGCAATTCACAATACTCCTCAACCTTTTACAAAACTCTAAAGTACCTTTAAGAATTTATTCTTTGATTTATATAAGGTCGCGTGACACCCAATCTCATATAGATATTGCAAGCTGGAAGCATTTTATGGGAGTTTTCATTTACATAAAAGTTGCATTTATTCGTCTTGGTAAACACAATTCTTTTTAGTTTTGGTTTGAGAAATGATAAAAGTATTGTGATAATAGGAGAGATTGAATGTGATAATATTCAGGCTGAAAATATTTTGGATAACTTTTTTATCTTTCATGCCTATTAGAAAATTCGTAGGGGTAGAGTAATGGATTATCGTGATACAATTAATCAACACATATTCAGAAAAAAAAAATAATAATGACACAATAAGTTTTTACGTGAAAAACTCGAAAAAGGAAAAACCGTGGGAGCTGACTCAGCTGAAGAGTTTCACTGTAAAAAGATGATTACAGTTACAATTATTTATCCCAAGGTCGGAATAAAATTAATAGGTTTTCTAAGTTACAACGTCGATAGTGATTTGCGGTATTTGGTCGATGGTGATCGACGACGGTCGGCGATGGTTGACGACAACAGGAGTGTTTAACGACGGTTAGTGGTGGTCGATGGCGGCAGGAATACTACTGAATTTCAGTTTGTTCTCAAAGCTTAAAGTTCTTTTTGAAGCCTTAAGCTCTCCTCCCCTCTCAAAGAGAGGGGTGGGGCAAATACTTAAAGAGTTATGGGTAGGGGTGTAAACGAGCTGAACACAAGCGAGCCCAGCTCAGCCCGTGTTCGGGTCGTTAAAAAATTCATTGTTCGTGTTCAGCTTGTTTATATTTCAAGCAAAAAAAGTGTGTTTATGTTCTGCTCGTTTGCTTAGCGAGCCGAACGCAAGTTGTTCGCTAACAAAGAGACATTCTGACAACCTTAATCACAAAAGCTATAAAATGTTAAGGGTTAGGACAAGATTTAAATTTTATTGCTTATATTAAAATATCATTTAAATATAATTTACTATATTTTTATTCCATTTTTTAAATTATATATATATATGTGGGAGG